ATATCCGGAAATTTGACCTATTTATGAATGATATTCACAGCTGTTGTACTTTGGTCAATGACTGCGAACCCACGACGAATGAATCCCCAAAAGCGGTAGGTCCACGTCGGCGTAATGAAGTCCAATTGACTAACGCCAGAACACCCCCCCCTTTTTGACACGTGGAATATTTAAAAGTGGATAAGATTAACAAAAACAGGGTTCGAAGACGGTCAGTGAAAATATGATAAGCACCTTATCTGGAAAAATTTCAACAAGTTTTTAAACCAAGAATTTTTATTTTGAGTTTTTATTCGAATATGCTATTGATGTCTTCCTATAATGCAGCCCTGTCTTTTCACCTCAAGAGCTATATATCGTCAAATTATTTTGCTTGGTTTGTTTTTTACCGGTCATTTTAAAGTAATATTCCAAAATGTGCGACGAGATAGTAGGTGAAATCGCCTGTTCATTCATGAACGTGTGCCGCTAAAACACTTTCGCGGTGTGACTAGAACATAGAATGCTTCTATGGGTGAAAGGATCAGCGGCGTATCGAGCTTTTGGAGTCAAGGGGGCAAGTCAAAAGTGGCTTCGGCTCATTCGACATGATGTTGGGGGAGACAAAATATCAAAAGCCTCACTCGCCGTCCCGACATCTTTGCTTTTATTTCATGGTGATGTTTCCCTTAGGTTCTGATGCCAATATGTGATAAATAAATATATCGATTACTTTCTTACCTATATTCTTTGATAAAAAAAAAATCCGTCGGGGGGAGAGGCAGGGTTCCCCCTCCACTGCATACGCCACTGGTTAGGAGCCGCTCCCTAAAAGCCTATCGTAAAAGTGTATTGGACGGGGGTGGAGAGTAGGCCATTAGGGGGGGAAGTGACAACTCCCATGGGATGGTATACTGGGTTTGATTCATCGCTGAGATATTTTCTCTGGTGGTCCCGACTTCCCCAGGTCAAGTGTATGGGCTAATCTCGAGCAACAACGGCTATATTTGTGTTACCAAAAGAGCAACATCCATGAGCCGACTTTACACGTGAACTTGTCTCGCAAATTTCGCTTGTCTCTTGTGTGTAATGCAGAGGGGGAGAGTCGGCAGCGATGTTAGCGGAACAGCCACTGTGGAAATATGTTCTTTAAAGTATGGAGAGGCTGACTTTTCCTTATTTCAATTTGTTTGCAGCTCTTTTAGAGAAACGCTCTGCTATGTCAAGATTCAGCTAAGGAACGCCCCGTGAACACGATACCCCAGCTGTGGAGCATTATACAGCGGGTAGGTACGTTTCAATGTTGTGCTTTCCTCCAACCATGTAGGAAGGAAAACGTGCTCCAACTTACGAATGACGCCTTGACGGCCTGAAACTGTAACTAGCATGTTTCGAAATTCGAGTTGAGCTAGTGGGGCGGAGATGGGTCATATCAACTAAAACATATCCCCATAACATTTTGCAGAATCATGCTGTTCACACAGGTTTTGAACTTTAGACTTATACCGGATACAAGCTCTTGACCTGGCACGATGGCAATCGTTATTGCGCACGACAGGGTAATGAAGTTTCCATCAAACTCGAAGAACCCCGAATTCACTGCACGGGATACCTGTACATTGTAATTTCACTACCAGAATGAGAAGTTGTGGACAGGTGATACGCTCGCGTTACATGCATGTCGTGATTTGGCAAATGCTCGCACGCGTCAAGCCGACGCAGCGCGTGTGAGTGCAGCGCATGCCAACCGTAGTTATGGCGGGCCTTCGCCACTTCTGGTATTGTCTGTACCCCTTCTGTTTAAAGTTTACTGAGATTCTTTTTTAACCAGGGAGAGTGGTTCACTGTAACTCGGTCTCTGTGGCAAAAATTTCCAAAGTTTTTGGCCCCCAACATGTTTAGTCCTCGAAAATAATTTGGTTCTTGATTCGCCTTTAGTGTTTATAATTGTAAAAAAAATAAATAAATAGAATCAACTGCAGTGGAAGGATTACTTTTTTCTTCGAGGTGGGTGCATTCCTTCATATTTGTGGCGTTTCTTCTTCCAGATCTGTGATCGATTGTTGCGAAGATAAAAGAGCACGTAACGACAAACAGTTTAAACTATTACCTCCCCCCCAGGTACCTTGTTTGCTATAAGTCGGCCACCCCCTCCCCTCACTCCCCACGGTCAAGGAATTCCGGACCTGGTGGAACGTTTGCTCTTCGGGACAATGTGTGAATGCCGGGCGAGACAATGATTTTCCCGATAACACTAACAGGTCTTGTTTGTGGAAAGGATTTTGCTATACCTGCATACCGGCCAGTGTTGACTTTTTAGTGACCGATACTATCCAGTAGGTACAAAAACCAGTTCGGCCCCCGCAACCGTATCCCTGTATCATGTCAAGCCGCATTTCTATCCCTAAGTACACTGGACAGCAAAAGAAACTCGCCACTTCTGTCAAAGGCCATACATAAAAATTCACTCACTATGTGTGGCCTTTGACAGAAGTGGCAAGTTTCTTTTGCTGTCCAGTGTAGTTTGTCTTTAGGCCTATACGCTCTAAAACGTTAGTCTAATGCCCGCAAGACTTCCTCCATGGACTCATTTAATCATGATAACACCAGTTGCTGCACACGCGTTATGTCATAAGCGTAGGTGCTAAAATGTTATTATGCGACACAAGAACAGCCATGGGGTCTTATTGAATTTCTATTAGCACCCCAATGGGATTAGGAACAATTCAAACTGAAAGTTTTCAAGATCCATCTATTTTATTTTGGTTTTACTATTATTATTATCCTTTAGATTTTTGAGAAACCTAACCACCCCACGTCATGCATAAAGGCCGTATCCACAATTTTTGGCGGGGGGGGGGGCAATCTAGAGATTTTTTTATGTCTCATTTTTTTGCGGACAAGCAGAGACAATAATATTACATGACATACATTATTTACAATGATAATGTTGCACTTACTTTAGTTTTTTAAAAATTATTTTCCCATTTTTTTAGGCGGGGGGGGGTTGACCGCCACTCCCTCTACCTCCTGAATATCTGCCTGATATAGTGAAATCCAAATCGTTTCCGACGCGGCGCTGTACATGTACTTGTCACGGATACAAGCGCCCATCGAACCATGCGGACCCCCGGGGCCAAATTTCTTACGGTAGGGAGACCCCATGGCAAACTTTGCTTTTTATTTATGTCTGCGTCCAAATTCAAAGTGAGTGTGAGGGGTCTCCGCAGGGAAATGCTGACGCAAAGTGGATATGGGCGGGGCTGGGGGAGAGGAGGGGAGGGGGCAACTCTTCCTCCACCCCTTTCATTTTTCACTTTCAGAGAGCGAGATCACATCTTGACAATAAATAATCTGTAATGACCATGACAGTATCGGATCCCTTCTGTTTCTAGTTTCAGAGTAAAGTAATGAGCATAACAGGTATGGTTCAGTCCCGAATATGGCCCAGACTGGTGCAATTGAAGTCTTTGACCTTGCAAAACTGCAGCGGAAACTGCAGTGTTTATTCTTAATCAAGTTAGAGTTTTATAACCACGGAGCGCACTTTGCTGTGAAGCCTACAAATTGCTATCCTCGTTAACTCTCCCTTGCACATTGAGCAGGATCCTACGTGTACGTGAACGCGTACGTAAGTGGCCTTGTAAAACAGTGTGGCGGAAACCATATTAATACTTTCTTTGAGAAGTTAAACTTTTGTGTATCACAATTGTTTTGGCAATGTGCCCGGACCAGCCAGGCGCGCGAAATTTATTGTACAGCAGTTCGGCACCCGTAAATCGGTGCGTTACAACGGAATTATCGGGGGGGGGGTCCTCCCTTGGTTCTCTTTGATGCCAGAGTATCTTCTAGTTGCTCCTTCTCAATGAATTTTACAAGAAACAATTACCTTAGGGTATTCTAGTTTTAACCGTTTCTAAGAGGATTTGATTAAATTTCTTTCGTTTTCATCCAACTGACATTAGAGAAGAAAAACCTACTTTCTATGCCTCACACGGCCTAACATTATGATGAAATATATAAAAACGTTCTGTTTTATTTTACCACATAAGACAAATTTTCATTTAATATTCCCCAACGTGTTTCGGAATTTTGGCTCCCCCTTCCACATGTTAGGTTCACGGGTTTTCTGTTACACGCACGTACCAGGGATGTATTTAAAGACCACTGATAATGCGGCAAAGCAAAGATTCCTTTGTGTTGTAACTGCCCCTCTCTTTTCTTTTTTAAACAAAACCGATAGAAAGCAGACATTCCATGATAGAAACACCCCTTTGGTAAAATGAACTAGACTCTCTCATGACTTATTCTTGTGATTGGCTTTTGGTTGTGGCGCGGGCTTTTTTCAGCCCGCCCACAGGACGTGATGTGTCCACCTTAAAGTCCTACGCGCCCAGAAAATAATATTGCGCAACATTTGTGAAATAACATAGAAGAAGACTATATTGGGAAAGTTTATTTTCGTTATGTTAAAACCAATACTCTTGATCGTTTTATCCACCAACTTTTGCGTTGTTTCTGTTTTTATTAAACTTTTAGTTACACATTTCGGACAAAGTAGATCATGACATGCCGGGGTACACACTATCGTAATTGCAACCACAAACCACGAGCTTTGTCAGTATTTTTTCGTGCACATTCTTCCTTGATTGCTCGACACCAGTCATGTAATTTTTTCTGCAGCAAAATATTTCTTTCAAAATAAGAAACAATCTTGTTGAATGATCGTGTATTTACGACGAGTAATGCTCGTGGCCTCACAATGCCACCCAGTTGCCTAACTTCAATGGAGTGGCACCCCCGTATGGTCACCGGCAACGCGGACTGATATTGGCCGGTGTTTTGCAGGTGCCATTTATTAGCGGGATTTCCTTACGCTCGTAGTAAAACCGGGTTCATCGAGTTTAGCGCTAGTACCGAGTCGCTGTCACACACCAATTCTTTACAGTGGAAATCCATTTCCTGTAACAGCTTTGGACCGTTTCCGTCATCAAGGTACGTTCATGTAATAAGATTTGGTTGATGGCGTTCGTTATTCGCTTGTTTCAATGAGAATAAATCCTACATTTTTCGTGTGAACTGTTGTATTTTGGATGGCATGTGTGGAATGATAGATTTAAATACCCGTGTGTTTCATTCATGAGCTTGCAAAGGAACGCCCCATTTAAAACCCCGTGGGCCACCGGGTGACGGTCGTAGTAATTGAAATCGGCTGCTTCGTTATATTAGAGTTTACTCACACTTATCTTTTTTAGCAATGCTGCAGATATTTCCTTATGTAGGGAATTTAAAGTCTTGTCCCAGATCGCAGCAAGCATTTGTTCCGTTTTGTCGTATTCGACAATGGAGGAAGGGTTCAGCGAAACGACTTGTGATTAACTTGAACCATTGAGTCACCGGCACGGCATAGTCACAGCTTACTTAACTTCTAAAAGAGAACGATGGATCTGCTAACTATGGACATAAATTCCTGACATTTTCTAGCTATGCAGGGTTGGAGTAGTCTACGAGTATGTGAGCTGTGTGTGGTTTTGTCGTCACTGTTGAGTTTTTATCGCTAGAACTGTCCCGTAAATATGTACATGTGCATGTGTGACCTTGTGTAGGGTAGTTGCACTTCCGCGTTCGTTGAGCGCGCCATTCGATTTTGTAACAATTGTGATACTTTTGATGCGATCGAAATGGCACATGGCACATTGCGTTAGTAACCATGATTTCCGTTTAATTTTCAGGAACTGACGAGTGTTTTTCCAGTCGACCACTGTACTGGATTTATACATCAGCTGATTTCGGCAATGGCAACTATTGCAGCATTTCGATTTTGTGACCATCGCGATCACAATTACCACCGTTGCTCGTCCGAGACTTCGGAAGTCAATTCCTTGGACGACAGCGACTCGGTGGATTCCTGCCTTGTGGGCCCAGACCAGGAGGAGGAGTTCTACGCCTCCAGCCTGACCCCGCCCACCCCCAGTGAGGATATCTGGAAGAAGTTTGAGCTGTATCCAACCCCACCGCTCAGCCCTAGCCACCCCGATGGGGCCAAAGAGGCCCCGGCTCCCACCAGATCTCAGGAGGGTGAAGCTGACCTCCTCCAGGAAGTCACCAACATCCTGATGGATGACGATGACCTTCCCTGGATGACCCGTACCTGTCACTTCTCCGATCCTGTCTTCCGTGCCCCTTCCCCAGTCACCCCTCCGCTGATTCAGGATTGCATGTGGAGCAGCATCATCGCCGAGGAGAGGCGCAAATTCTTCTTGAAGACAGAGAAGAAAAGCGAGGAGAAAGCTAAGAAGGCGGTACCGTCCTCAAACTCTGGCCTGATGCTGCCGCCTCTGGTGCCTGCTTCAGAGTACGGGTCCTCAGACTGTGTCGACCCCTCCGCCGTCTTCCCCTACCCACTCAGTGAGACGAGATTGGATTTATTCAGCACAGGAACAAACACACCATCAGATTCTGGTAAGTATTGGCTCCGAGACTGATGGCATTAAAAGTCAACACCGTTCCTCCCCCCCCCTACTTTTTCCCAGGTTCCGCTTGACATGGTGTGGAAGTCTGTAAGCTTGCATTTGGTTTTGTGATTGCCTGTTCATTTTACTGGCAGATTGGTTGAATCATACTGCCACAGAACTGTGGTTGATTGAATCATCCTTTCCAGGGAACTTGGGCTTGAAGAGTGGCGTTCTTTGGGTTTTGGAACGCAATTAACCACAAATCCAATCATTCCAAGTTTGTTGTCCATTCACTTGTGCTCATGTGAGACTGGAGTAAGGTCTTGGTGGGATTTCTGTTACTCGCGTTTTTAGTTGGGATAAAGCATTGAGGAAAGAACAGTACATGTATGTTGTGGTTTTATCAGTGTTTGCCCGATGCCTGCTTAGCTGTTGTGAGACCAAGGGGCCCAGTGAGATGTGATGTGGCCATAGTAATTACGAAGGTTTGATACCCGTGAATACACTGTGTAACACCTGTAGAAAATGGTCCCGGGTCATGAATGACACAAGAATGTTGCATCACAGATAACCCCAGATTAAGAAGCCTGTACATCATGATGATGTAAACATGAAGTGCTGCGTTGACTGGGAGTGTTGGGAGACTTCATGACCAAAGGTTTAAAACTCTTCAAGCCATGGCTTACTATCCATGTGGTCTTAGCTCTATCTTCAATTAGAGGTGTTATGACAAACCTAAGGGATTTGTGCATGTGCTCATTCTACGCGGCTTTTAACACCCACTTCAGCTGTTCCCTCTTTTAACCTTGGCAACAAAGAGCCGCCTCAGAAATCCTCTGAACTTGCGATTACCAGCCTCCACAGTCAATGAAGCCTTTGTGGTGTGTGGTTTTTCCACTCTGTTGGCCGGACATGGGGAACTGAACACATGTTTGCAGGTCTCAACAATAGAATGATAATCAAGGTGCTTTGGGGAGTGTGTTTGCAATTGTCCATTTATGTTGTCACTTCTCTAGTGAAAGGAATTCTTGCTGTAAACTGTGCTTCACAGCATTCATTGACCCAGGACAACAGGGCTTGGATTTGAAACACAACCGATTTGACATTGCACCAAGTGAACACTATCAATATCATAACTTGAAAAATTGAGCAAAGTCTAAGGACAGTTGTGCTATTTTTATCATTTTCAAAAATAACAAAAAGATTCAAGTTAATGTTACATTATATATTAAACAGATGAAAATATCTCTGAACAGCTTGCACATTTTGAGCTGCATGAAATATTTGGGCCCACACTGGTTTGGAATAGTGTATTTTGTGTTATTGCTTCAGAGTTTGTTGTGATTGCGCAATAGTCATCCTGGTTTGGCCATATGGACACACATGGTCTGATGGGTTATATGGGCATACAATACTAGTGACACTGTGAGTGGTAATACGATCTTGATAGTATTCGGTGTGCTGGAGATTGCTTAATATTGCGCAATACTTCATAAATGCAGGTCGCTGTCTTCCGTGGGGGGTAACGTTTTTAAGGATTTTTCCCGATTTGGGGGTTTTTCAAACAATCTGTTTTTTAAATCGTGGAATATTCTGAATCGTTTATAAAAGTTGATGTGAAATACAAGAAATGGGTATTTTAGAGGGTGTTTTTAGGCAAACACTATATGTAAACCATATACCCCTATGCTGACGCGTGGCCCTCAAACCCTGTAGTGATTATTTCGAGGATATTTTTCATTTTTCCCCCAATCTCCTCCTCCTACCCGGGGAATATTGCTCCTCCTACCCGGGGAATATTGCTCCTCCTACCCGGGGAATATTGTCTGCTAGTGCTAAATATGGGGATAAAAACTCAGACACTTGTTAGTTTGCAAATTTCAAATGTTGAGCCATTGTTATAAAGCCAAAAAAAAATCAGTTTTGAGTTTTTTGGTGGACATGGTCATTTGTTTTATTAATTTTTTTTTGTTTTTGTGTGGGGCTCACAGTGTTTCACTCATTCTGAATGCTAGCCTTGGTTCTTCCCGTGTCTTTAAATTGGTCAAATGGATTTTGTCAAACTGTTGCGCAGATAGTTTATTTATTGCTTCTGGAAAGAACGCTCTAATTGTTCCGAGTTGCATGACAAGAAGTATGCAGTACTAGAATCATAAGATAGTTCCTTGGCTAGATCAGAAAAGTAAATATTGGGCAATTTTGGTGTCTTGCTATAGCCATCTGTATACACCTGTTCTATCATTCAGTCAACATCTGTTGCTAATCCTAAGAATACCTACTCTTGAGTAGGTAGGCACGAATTGTTCTGTTTTTAAGGTGGAAAAGGAAGGACCAAATAAATTTGCATAAATTTCATTCAAATGATCATACTTTTCAAGCGCTTTCTCATGCCTGCCTTTGTAGCAGCTGTGCCGTTATTTAGAGATTTCAAATTTATGGCTATGGTTCATTAACTATGTACATGTAAAAAAAAAAACACCCACAATATAGCATCCTCCCACTCAGTGAGTGTGGGCATTGAAATACGAGCATTCAGTTTGGTTTGCAAGTCTGGGCGTTCAATCTATCAGCAGCAGTCAGCGGCACTCGGTCAATCCTACCCACATGTCTGAGTTGTTAATGAGTTATACCTGTATATACGGTAGCAGGGCCTTTGTTTTTAAAAATGTACATGTACATGTCCTTACCAGAAATGTCAAAGGATCAATTTTGTCCAACGAAACTGGTGAACGCTAGAAGTGGCATTTCAAACTACGTAGACAATTTAAAATGATACCCAGTTGAATTTCTGATAAGAGAATGGACCGTCTTTCCCCAGCACATCAATTTACTAAAGCTTTGCATTTTTTTTTTTCATTTTTAGGAAAAAGATTAACTCGGTAGCTTTTGTTGAGAGCTTGAAAAAGTCATACTTGGTATTTATGTATATAATTAATGCAGTTAGGGTAGCCATCTGCATCTTTTGTTAACTGATGCGTGTACAGGATCATGTACATAGGTCAACCGTGTGTACACACGTTCTGGCAGGAATAAGCAGCCTTCTGTTAAAAAAAACTGCATTGAATCAAACAGTCTGGTCCTGAATTGCAGTGATTACTTTGGACACGTATTAACCCTGATCAGTGACTGAGAACAACCAAATTAAAATGAAATTGTCAAAGACTTGCTTTTGCCCTGGTGTCTACTTCATTTGACCCAAAGGGCAGAAGATAAGGCCTATCACCATCAGTTTTAGTATTTTCACCTGTAAATTTCTTCCCGTATAGATGTTTCATTTCTTAGTTCATGGTTTTATGGGAACTTCACAGGTCGGGCCATTTACCTTGGATAAGGCATATTTCACTGTGGATAATTTGTTTTGAATGAGAGTTTCCTTGTGTAGCCAGGGTCAACTGGCCTGTCAAGATCTTGGGAAGGATGAAGGGCATCTTTCTTAAAATTGAACTGTTTCTTTTGTTTCCACAGAGGAAGAGATTGATGTTGTCACAGTTGAGAAGAAACTCACTAATCACCGTCACCACCACCACAAGTCCCACACCACAAGGCCCTACCACAGACACCACACGGCCAAGCCGCGAGCACATCCACCCCAGCAGCAGTCGATCAACATCACCTTGCTGGGCAAGCGAGGGCGCCCATCCAACGCCACCATCCTGTCCATCCCCATCAAGAAGCTCAAGACGGAAGGCAACCTGGAGGAGGTCAAGCAGATGCTACAGAAGTCTAACCTAGTCCGCACGTCCTCAGCGGGGAACAGCCGAGTTAGCAGCCGCGGCAGCAGTCGGGGAAGCAGTCGGCCGTCCAGCCAGCCTGGCAGTCATCCTTCCTCAGACTCGGAGGACACAGAGAAGAGGGCATGCCACAATGTACTGGAGAGGAAGAGGCGTGAAGACCTGCGGACGAGCTTCCTTCATCTGCGGGACGAGGTTCCCGAGCTGAACTCGTCAGACCGTGCAGCCAAAGTCGTCATTCTGAAGAAAGCAACCGACTATGTTATCAGCCTTCAAGATACAGAAGAGAGTCTCAAGATGGAGCTTGAGAGAGAGACTAGGAGGAATCTTGACCTGAGGGAGCGACTGGAAGCTTTGTTGGCTCCCCACCCCGTGTAGACAAACCCTCCTTTCCCCTTCCTTGAACTTGGGACCAAGGACAAGTTGAGGGGCTTCTGGCAAATGCATCAAGTTTCCAGAGCTTCTTATTCTTGGGCTGTTGAAGTGAAGACGTGACCGTTGGTATCCTTGGAATGAATGTGAACAAACTGAGGACACGCTGATAAACAGAAGTAGAGTTGGGGAGACTGATGACAAGATGAGAACTGCCTTGTTGTAACTGAGCAGCTGATTGAAAGGAAGAACTTTGAACTGTTTGAGAACAGCGATTCATAAAAATGTTTATTTTTGTAAATACGTTTTGCGATTGGTTTGTATTGGAAGAATTGGTCGGTCGTTATGATTTACAGCCCTTGTACATAATGTATCAAAGAAAAAATACAGATGTATGTCTTGATATTTTAGTTCTTCTCATATTAAATCTAATTATGTTTTGTAATTCTTTTATATATTTTTTAACATGCACATTTTACAAAAGTTAGAGCTTTGTGAGGAAATGAAAGCTGTCGTGAAAGCCCAAGAAAGTGTTTCTTTTCTTTTCGTTTCCATTGTTCACAGATTGAGGTTTGGATAATGTGAGTAAACTTTACTGCCCTGAAATTTTATCTGGACTACCGAAGGTAGTGCTGTGCTTGATTTTGAAACGAAAAGTACTCAAATGTTGTACTTTGAAATTGAGATAAGCTCAATTGTAGGTTTTTCTTTTGCCAGGGTTTTTTCACCAGCATTTCACACTTGCCAACTGACTTGTGTGTGTGCATGTTTTTTTTTGTGGTTTTTTTTTCTGTTGCTTTTCGTCCTAAATTTTCATCAAAATTTCGGGGTTATCCTTTTTTTCAAACATTACTTCAATGTGCACATTTTTTGAGCTTACATTTCCGTATTTTATTTTGTGATTTCGGGTGAAACCCTCAGCGCATTTAAATTTATCGTGGTGAGAAAATGTAGGAAGTATAAAAACATGGCAGTTTATACTTTGAGTAATTTTCAGGTTGGTTTCAAAAAGAAATTCTTTCTAGTTCTCTAAGTAGTTTTTGGCAAGTGATCCAAGTTTTTCCTCTGCTACTGATTCACCTTCACAAGATTTTCTGGTAAGTGAATAGATGAACTACGAAATCCAACAGCTCTGTAATTCTGTTAACTCGCTCCAATAGAGCCAAAAATCTTTCGGAGAAATGAGTAAGTTGATATTTCCCTGGTTGAGATTTAAACTGTTAATATAAACTGCTTCACATCTGAATGTTAAAATACTTGTCAGAGAATAGAGTGATTCTTTGTAAGAACATTTTGAAAGAATTACTTTCTTCGATTATCAAAAATTAGTTTATCATTCCTTGTTGCATGTGAGCAGTTGCCAAGTCGTTTTTCATTTTTTCACTGCCATTTTCCAAGTTCCTTAATATCTACCGGCCACTAAACTGTTGCCAAGTTTGTCTTTTACACGTAACACAGACTTTGAAGGAAGAAAATTGTCGGAAGTGTTGGCGACAAAAGAACAGAAAATACACTTTCAAAGTGACGGCTTTTAAATACTCCAGTGGTGTGTTTTCTTTGTCTGAAAGTAATGTGCAATTGCACACAAACAGCTGCCTATGGGAGCCGGAACTGACAATGTACACTGTACATGTACATAGACTTTTCTTTATCCGCAAAAGCGCGCCATTTGAGTCACGTGGGTGACCTTTTGTGATATGGAATGTCATTAATATTCATGAGGGGGTGTGTGCAATGCGGTTGGCATGCCAAGTTTCAAACAGTTGACATTTGGATAGGAACGTGTGCAAAAAACTTCGAGCCGTGAGAAAGAAAATTAGTAGCATGATGAGCACGAAAGGCGGTAAGCTGTGAGCGGATTCGTTGTGGTTTCTAGGAAGTTGAAAACCCATGCTCAGGAAAACCGTTTACGAGTCGAAAACTTTATTTTAATAATTAGGTACCTACGGAAATAAGTGATATTGTGGTCAAATGGTAACTTGTTTTATGTCGTTTTTAAGTTCCGCCAGTAACGATATCATGTTTGATGTAGCCCTGGGAAGCAAAAAAAATTCAGGTCGTAGGAATCGAACAGAACGGGGACGAGGGTTTTGGTAGGTTATCTGCCATTCGAGACTATTGTGCGTGGCTAAAAGAATTCATCTAAAAGCATTTCTTTTCGCAATTGTCTTGATTAATATGGAAATGAAGCGTTGGTAAAGTTGTTCAATCCAGATATTGAACAAATCTTACAAAAAGCCGTGGATCTGAGCAGCAGCATTAATGAACACAATTAATTACATCTAGCCACCGCATGGTGGCGCCATTCGGTTCAACAATGTACTCTTGGTCCGTTTCCCACGACCTTCGGACAAAGTGGAAGTTCAACAAGTTTTGAAAACGAAAGTAAACTATTTGATACCGATGCCGCTGGGACAAAACATACCACGAATACCTTGGGTTCCACCTGAAAAGTTCGAACTGGGAGGATGTTGAGAAAAACAAATACATGTTCAGAACCGGATTTGACTTTAAATGGTTTCTTTTGTGAGACGAAATGCGGTACATTGTGAAGGAGACTTTTTTTTGCAAACGAGGAACTAAGGAAATATACCTTGACAATCCAGGTTAAAACCACAAGGTTTGGGGGACATTACCGTGGCGACGCGTCGTCCATTTGGGTGGATATGCATAATTAGTGGAAACAACGATTTTAAGACATCGACCAAGCCTGGAATAGCAGCTGATAGAAATGGAAATTGAATTACAAGTGTATTTATTTAAATTTAATTACAAGTGTATTTATTTAAATTAAACAATGTACCAAAAACTGACAACAGACTATAACATCCTGATCCAGAAACAATAAGATGGACGTTCTTCCAAGCACGAGTGATAAGACTAATTCCCCGCACCCCCCCCCCTTACCGGCCAGATCTGTTGCAGCCCGACCCACAACTGTTGCAGTGTTCCAGTCGGCGTCCGCGCCTAGACGCAAAGTGTGTCAGCGCAGACGATGGTTTTCCCGGGCTGTGCGCGGAGAAGCCAGCAGGAATGCCTGTTTGCTTGGTAGCCATGGAGACTACATACCTGACTCACATCCCAGGAATTCTCTCGGCCGTGCATCACCAGGCGGGCCTTGTCTCCTTTGAGTCTTGCTCCCTTCTCTCCTGCTCAGTTTCTGTTTGCGCTCATCCAAAGGTGCTTACATTACAAAATAAGCTCTCACTGGAAAATATTGACTAAACACAGTGAAGCTTTATAAATTCGTATTTCCACGTTGCCTTATTATTCCCCATTTAAGTTTAAACAACGCGTGTATTTACCACTTCTAATTCTCAAGATCAAATTGCGGAAACAAATATTGAGAAGCGAACATGAAAACATAAACAGAAAGCTGTGCTTTCCGTTAAACATGTACTTGCTCATGCATATCTGATTTCGCTTTCTGAAATCGAAAGAAGAAATTTGAGAAATTTACTGGCGAGGTATTTTTTTTTGGGGGGGGGGAGAAGACAGACCTATCCCACAATAAGATCTCGAGAACGTCATCCCTGATTCCTTAGGTTTACCAGGGTAGAATTCTTCCAATTCAGGGCGACAAAGATTTAAATGGGCAAACCTGTGCAGTGGTTTAGAATGGCCGCATATGGTCTCCCGTATTTAAACCCCTTTTGCCATGTAAAAATGTGCAATCATTCTTCATTTGCCCAGAGCAGTGGATGCTCAGGCTCAGTGGCCTAAGCGAAGAGGTGAGGAGAAGACTTGTCGGAAAATAAAGGGAACAAACGAACAAGCAAAAACACTGCCTGTCAGATTTAGCTAATTGGCATTGCTGTGCATGACTTTTTACGAGACCAGTTTCTGCATTGAGTGAGCGTTGGGAAGAAATCCAAGTCACTCATACGACAACGACCCGGTCTGACGGAGAACAAGAAAAGTGGACGGCTGATTGAATGACGCTTGGTGAGTCCTCACAGCAAATGGATTTGGGTCTGTTGAGGTTGTAGGCTGACAAACTCAAATCTCATCTCAGATAATGACAGGAAGAAGTGAGGTGTTGTCTGACGGTAAGGATGTCCGGATTGTCGTGTTTCCTTTTTTTTTATCAAGCACGACTTGTAATTTTTCTACGATTCATTGATGCGTACAAAACTGTTGCAAGGGATGGAAAGGACTGATGTGGTGCAGTGGATCAAATCGCTGAGTCACCACGATCTGGCATTGAGGTATTTTTGCAATAAGATTGCTGTACTATGGAACCGACAACACGATGCACTGCTATGCTACAATTCAGAGCACGCCCTTCACTCGAAGGTAAACTTGTGGAAGGCTTTTCTGGTTGAAAACCGCTCCTGAGTCACACATTCATTGACACATAAAGTTCGTAAACAGACAATCTGGGGACTTTTCATCTGTCTAGTCCCTTCCATCGGTGGTTCTTTGCTGAAAAATGCGGACTTTCTCATTATTTAGGATATTATTTCACAGACCTAGGAGCGACTTGAGTCAAGTCTAGTATCCACCCCGACCTTCGCGATGTCTCATCGCTACCTCATCAGAACAACTTCATCATCGCGTAGACGTCTTGATTCACTCTGATGCGGTTTTATCAATGAGTCATCTTGGGGAGCCGGAGAGAGGGGGAACTCGTCACAAGATGTGGGTGGAGCCAAGATTCTCGCTACGCACATACCTGGCCATCCGCGCATAGCTTGGCAGTGTGTCGACATGAGAGATGCTCCGGTCTTTTCAGAGTATATTTTCAGAGAATATTTTTTCTCTTACATCGTAGTGAGAAAGGATGATGAAGAATAACCACAAAACTAAAGATGGGACACGAATGATGCGCATGGAATGACACTACCATTATTATCATTGCCACCTCTGTTGAATAATTCATGAACAATATAAAAGAATAACTGTGTCCGATGATCAGAAGAATGTTTCAAGAAACCCTGTGCCTTTATGCTTGTACCTCCTATATTCCTTTTTATATCTTCATGAAAGATTTCAGCTTTCGGTGACTTTCGGGGAATCCGTTGGCCTTCCTTTTCTCGGGAGTTTAAATATAAATATTTCCATCTCAGAGTCTGTCGTCCGATCCTTACTCCTTCTGAACAATCATTCGGTTTGTCATTCTGTATCTCTTTTCATCTTGAGTTCTGAATGTCAGGAATGAGTTGTCTCCTTGCCTTTCCAGTGAAACCAATTATAACTTGGGCCTTAAGAGACTTTTTAAAATCTCCCTTTTTCTATCGTAAAGAACATTCATGAGGAAGAAGATAATTATGTAAATTAATCAGGAGGTAACACACATATTTTCAAGCCTGTTCTGCTATTGTGTCTGCATAAATCATGACAGAGCATGCATTATTCATAATCCTTCTACCCGGGGCCTCTGACAGCCACCTCGGTAAACAAAATGATCCAGCGCTGGCTGGCTCTGACGTCTCTGACTAAGTGCCAGACGGGCGGTGCAGCAGCGGTTCAAGCCGCCGCTACTCTCGCCACAACAAACCTCATCAGACAAAGGAGGACACGAGACGGATGAGGTTACCACGGTAACGCCCAGGGGGGGATGTTTTGTGTCTGCGGATGAGACCACCGATGCGAGAGAAGAAGGTGGTGATGAAGCCCCGGCATTGCAGATGGATGGGTTGGTACGGGGAGACGAGGAGATTGGGTTAGATTGGACAAAGAGAATGATATTGTCATCTTGATGTAACGCTGGAGGAGGTGATTGCATGACGAGTCGGGCTGTATGTGCTCTCTACACACGTCTACAAGTGACTCGGTCCCCGATGTGTGCCCAGAATGAATCAAGCTGCCAATTGTATTTGCTTGGTTACTT